ATTTTCCTTTGTGTTGCTTGGTTCTAGCACTTTCTCTGTACTTCCTCCCCAATTGCTGCCCTCTCTGCCTCTACACTACCACAGCGTCAAAGGACTTCTTCCTGAAGCTTCACTCAAATAGTTCGATTGGTTTGCAAGCCTGAGGTTTCTTCAGCAAATCAAATCCAAATTTGTAATCCTGTATGTTTAAGGCCCTCTGCCACATGGCTCTTGCTTTCCCTTCACCCCCACTAGCTACATTTTTGCTTCTTCATAGTCCTGACCAATATTCCCGTTAAGGTGGGAGTGTTCTCAGACACTTCCCTTTCCTGTCATACATCTTTTTTTTTTTTTTTAAATTTTTTTTTCAACGTTTATTTATTTTTGGGACAGAGAGAGACAGAGCATGAACGGGGGAGGGGCAGAGAGAGAGGGAGACACAGAATCGGAAACAGGCTCCAGGCTCTGAGCCATCAGCCCAGAGCCTGACGCGGGGCTCGAACTCGCGGACCGCGAGATCGTGACCTGGCTGAAGTCGGACGCTTAACCGACTGCGCCACCCAGGTGCCCCCACATTTCAGTAGCATTTTTAGGAGTTCAGCCCTTGCTAGTCACATATTTGTAAAAAAAAATTTTTTTTAATGTTTATTTTTGAAAGGCAGAGAGGCACAGCACAAATGGGGGAGGGGCAGAGGGAGAGGGAGACACAGAGTCCTAAGCAGGCTCCCGGCTCTGAGTTTTTAGCACAGAGCCCGATGCAGGGCTCGAACCCACAAATCGCATGATCATGACCTGAGCTGAAGTCGGACGGACACTTAACTGACTGAGCCACCCAGGCGCTCCAACTAAACACATATTCTTAATGAGGTGAGGAGACCATCCAATATAATACTAACATCCTTTGAAAGGAGACTCCTAAAACCCAGAGGTTAAAGTTAACTTCCCACTAAAGTGGAGATTACCATATTCCCACAAAGTTCCAGAAAGAAATTCTAAAGTTTTCTAGGAGATGCCAGGTATTTAAAAATGAAGTGTGAGTAGAATTGTTTAAAGCCAGAAGTGGTTCTGAAAAATAGCAGGGGGACCTGAGGAGGTGGTGTTGATGCTGAGTGTTTGGGATTGAAAGCACGAGTGCCTACTTCTGGATGCCTTCAGTTGCAGGAGACCAAACTGCCTGAGCAACGGCACTCATTACCAAGGGGCACTCTGGTTGGAGGACCACTGACTTCTGGCCTTCTATTTTATGAAAGCCGAAGTGTGTATCTTTTTCTGCTGTCTCAGCCTGGAGAAAGGAGTTTGGGCTTGGCGGATTTTGAGCCAGGCTGTAGGGACAAGTAACTTTGTGAACGGGCATTAATGGGGCTAGCCGTGGCTGAGGGGAGGCATGGGGGGCCCAGTGGTCTGACGACGTGGCTCAGTTATTTCTGACTGTGGGGCCTTATCCTGTTTCATATTTATCATTTGTGAATTGCCTGTCTCTCTTGCTCCACCTTCTTCACTAGGGTATTGTGAAAATAAAATGGGATAATGTATGAATTTTGATTTTGGCATTACTGTCCCATATGAGGAAGTATTTTCTTGGGGCTTAAAATTTTGCTCCTATTTTAGTTTGGCATCCATAGTGAGACATATTTTAGAGGCTTAAGGAAAACAATGTGAGCCATTTAACTGGCTTTTTGTTGCTTGGGAGCTGATGATTTCATTTGAAGAATTTTAGGACTTCCTATCACCTGCTCTAATAATACTTAGAATATAGACATGGCTGCCATAAGAGAGAGATCGAGAATAGCAGAGGCTTAAACAACCTGGAAGTGCATTTCTCTTTCATTTAATAGTATAGGTATAAATGGTCCAGGGAAGTTTTGGGGGTGAGGTGGTACACGGAGTCAGGGACTGAGGCTTCTCGATCTTATTTTTCCACATGGCTTTCACCTCTTGTCCCCATGTGGCTATTCCAGCTTTTCCCAGCAGGAAGGGGATGATCATTGCCTTCTACGCAGGACTATACACAAATTTTTGAGCAGAAGAGAGAGAGACCAAGTATGAGCAGGGAAAGGACAGAGAGGGAGACACAGAATCTGAAGCAAGCTCCAGGCTCTGAGCTGTGTCAGCACAGAGCCCAATGTGGGGCTCGAACTCACAGACCATGAAATCATGACCTGAGCTAAAGTTGGATGCTTAACCAACTGAGCCACCCAGGACTATTCAAATGCCCACACATGGCTACACTATATAGTTGAGCTTAGCATCCATGCGTTCAGTTAAAAATTCCATTACTGTATAGGAAGGGAGACTAAATATTGTGGGGTGGGCTGCTAGCAGTGTCTGCCATAGCTGATGGGAGTCACATTATTCACCTCCCTTAAGTTAATCAAGATGGAAGACAGTAATTTTCATTCATCCATTCATATAAACAACTTCAGATGACATCTGAAGGGGAGAATGAGGAGGTTAAAGCTGTTGGCTTAGAAGAGTTTTAGAGATCTGTACTTTTCTTCTATTCAGGATTTGAAGCCATTTATTATTCATGGAGCACTATTCCCCTGTTGCTACATTCCACAGCCCATGTTGGTTACTGGGGACTCGGCGAATCATGGTCCCTGCTCTCCAAGCGCTTACCCCATAGGGGGAGGCAGGCGTGTCAGGCATTGAACACACAACTGTCTGGGGTGCAGAGGCAGATGGGGTGCTGTGGGAGCTCATAGGGAAGACCTGCCCAACCCGGGGCAGGCAGGCCGTGTGCGTGTATGTGTATGTGTGCATGTTGGATGCAAGATGCAGACAGTCACTGGCAGAAGGAAGTGTGACTGGGGTTCTATCTGTATCACCTTAAATAGTGATGGGTCCTTAGGAGAGCAAGTGAACTGATAAGATTCTGTTCCTTAGTGTCATGTCTGTGGCTTAATGTTTTTATTTCTGTTTCTCTTCCTAGAAACTCTCAGTGTGTCTGCCAAGACCCTTTGTCACGAGGAGCAATGCTGCCCCGATGGGAACTGTCTTTTTACCTATTTGCTTCACTAGGCTTCCACTTATATTCTTTCTATGAAGTTTACAAAGTCTCAAGAGGTAAGACCCCAGCTTTTCTGAACTTCTCTCAAGAAAGGAAGGAGGAAGGAAGTACTCAGAGGTAGAAGAGTCAGAAAAATTGTCTAATGGGCTTGGGATAATTTGGACCCTGCTTTGCTTTCCCTTGTCTGGGACACTTTGAGTCCATGACCTGAATCAATGCAATTTTCCACCCTCATCCTGGAACTTTGAGGGGATCCGGTGGCTGGTCTTCTGTAATAGGAAGGTTTGATTCAATGGCTATTGAAGGCTGTGGAGGTGATCTGCAGTAACCTCTTATGTTTCTCTTCCACCCTCATTGCTTCTGAGATATGTGGAGGCAGCTCAAGGTATTGGAGGCCCAGACTCCTTTCATCCTTTCGTTCTGCTGTGTTTAGTGATTTTCATATGCTTGTTGAAGAAGAATCATCACTAAATCTGCATTTCAGCCCGTAGGAAGGGGTATGGAAACCCTCCTGTTGGGCAAGTTACCCTTGTCACTTCTGCTTACCCCTAGTTGACCAGCACCAGGTTTTATGGCCACAGCTGAGAAACTGGGAAACATTGTCTTTAGCTTGGTGGCCATGTGCCACTAAAACTTCCCATACTGTGGAAGAATGGGAGACAGAAATGTGGAGGGACCAAGATGGCCTCTTGCATGGTCAGGGACAGTTTCCTAGTTGATGATAATTACTGGGCTTTGTTATAAGGCAGAACAGGAGCCAGGAAGGTAGAGAAGGCATCAGAGGATCTGTGGACAGAGATGGGTTTGCAAGCAAATGGACAAGCCTTTGGGGTGTGAGGAAGCATAGCATGGTCTGGCAACTACAAACCCCTCGGGAGGACTGGAGTGTAGAGTGTGAAGGGACAGTGGCTGGAGTTGAGCCTAGATCAAAAAGCAGGGAGAGCCTGTGAAGGACATTGCATATTGATCTGAGGAGTTTGGACTTTATCTTGAAGACAGGAGAGTATGCTGAAAAGTCCACTTAAAATTGCAAAGTTGAGAGTGCTCTGCCCTGAACACCTACCTCCTTCTATATTACTCGGACTGATTTGGATGTACATCACCAGGATTGACTTTCCTCCCATTCTACATATGTCCCACTCAGAGTCAGGAACTTGGTGGCAGAGACGGATCATCTAAAGTAGATGAGGACTATTGTTTTCTCAAGTCTGGCCAAGTATTTGCATTCCCCTACTGGAGCCTTTGAGCTCCCAGGGCCCATATAGGAGGAGCTAACCTACTCTACGTCAGGCACTGTATTAGATACTTCACGTATTGTATCTTGTCTCATTTAATCTTTAGAACAGCCCTATGATATGGTATATCATGTTTGGCAGCAGAAACACAGCCTCCAACATAATTGTTACAAGCCTCGTATTGTGTCTAGATAGCGTCAGAGAGCTGGCTCCTTCTACCATGTCCCTCTGCCATCTTCATCATGAGGCTTCACCTTATGAGGCAGTCTTTTCCATAAATTGATGTCCGTATTCCAGATTTTGGCCATTCTAGTAAGTGTGTAAGTGGTATCTCATTGTTTTAATTTGCATTTCCCTGATGTAATGTAGAGAATCTTTTCATATGCTTATTGCCATAAGACTGTATATATGTATATACATATACACATACAAACATATATATATATATATATATATATATATATATATAGTCTTATTTGGTGAGGTGTTCAGGTCTTTGCCCATTTTTTAATTGGGTTGTTTATTTTCTTTTTGAGTTTTAATAGCTCTTTGTGTATTTTGGATAACATGTCTTTTGCAAATATTTTCTTCCGGTCTGTGGCTTGTCATCTTACTCTCTTGATGGTGTCTTTTACAGAGCAGATACTTTAAATTTTGGTTAAGTCCAGTTTACCAATTGTTTCTTTCATGCATTGTGTCTTTGGTATCTAAAAAGTAATTCCCATAGCCAAGGTTATCTAGATTTTCTCCTACCTTATCTTCTAAGGATTCAGTAGTGTTTATATTCAGATCTATAATATCCATTTGCTATTATTTTTTGTGAAGAGTGTAAAGTCTGCATCTAGATTCAGTTGTTTTGCACGTGGACATTTAGTTCCAGCATTTGTTGAAAGAATATCTCTTCTCTGTTGTATTACCTTTGTTCCTTGTCAAAGGTCAGTTGACTGTATCTATGTGGGTCTTTTTTTGGGCTTTCTATTCTGTTCCACTCACCTATTTGTCTGTTCTTTCATCAACACCACGGTCTCTTGAGTCATAAGGCTTTATAATAAGTCTTGAATTTGGGGGGCACCTGCTGGCTCAGTCTGACTTTGGCTCAGGTCATGATCTCACAGTCTGTGAGTTCGAGCCCTGTGTCGGGCTCTGTGCTGACAGCTGAGAGCCTGGAGCCTGCTTCAAATTCTGTGTCTCCCTCTCTCTCTGCGCCTCCCCCACTTGTGCTCTGTCTCTCTCTCTCTCTCATAAATAAATAAACATTGAGAAAAAAAATTAGACTAAGTATTCTTTTTTTTTTTTCAACGTTTATTTATTTTTGGGACAGAGAGAGACAGAGCATGAATGGGGGAGGGGCAGAGAGAGAGGGAGACACAGAATCGGAAACAGGCTCCAGGCTCTGAGCCATCAGCCCAGAGCCTGACGTGGGGCTCGAACTCATGGACCGCGAGATCGTGACCTGGCTGAAGTCGGAAGGACTAAGTATTCTTTAAAAAAAATAATAAGTCTTGAATTTGGGTGATATTAGTCCTCTCACTTTGTTCTTGTCCTTCAATATTGTGTTGGCTATTCTGGATCTTTTGCCTCTCCATACAAACTTTAGAATCATGTTGTCATTATCCACAAGAGAGCTTCCTGGGATTTTGGTTTGGATTGCATGGACTCTATAGATGAAGTTGAGTAAGACTGACCTCTTAACAATATCCATGAACATGGAATATCTCTCAATTTGTCTTTTTCATTTTTTCATTTCTTTCATCAGAGTTTTCTAGTTCTCCTAACATATAACTTGTATGTATTTTGTTAGATTTATACCTAGATATTTCACTTTTTTGGTGTGCTAATGTAAATGGTATTGTTCTCAGTTTTAAATTTCACTTGTTTGTTTCTCATCTGTAGGAAAGCAACTGACTTTTGCGTATTTATTTTGTATCCTGCAACCTTGCTATAATTGCTTATTAGTTCCAGGAGTTTTTTTGGTAGATTCTTTGGATTTTCTACATAGATATTTATATTATCTGCATACAAAGACAGTTTTATTTCTTCCTTTCCATGTTGTATACCTTATTTCATTTTCTTAGTGCACTAGCTAGGACTCCCATTATGATATTAAAAAGGAATGGTGAGAGAGGACACTTTTGCCTTTTTTCTGATCTTAGTGAGAAAGCTTTCTGACCATTAAGTATGATGTTTACTGTATGTTCTTTGTAGATGCTCTTTATCCAGTTGAGGAAGTTCCCTTCTATCTCTAGTTTGCTGAGAGTTTTTAATCATAAATGAGTGTTGGATTTTGTCAAATGCTTTTTGTGCATATATTGATATGATCATGTGGTTTTTCTTTTTTGTCTTATTGATGTTATGGATTACACTAATGCATTTTTGTGGTCTGTGAGACTTTGTTTTTAGCAAACCTCTCCTGGACTCAGCAGGGCAGGTCTGCTCTGGGTTAGCTGGGGCTGCAGGCATCTGGTGGCTCACTCACATGGCTGGCCAAGACCTCAGTGGGGGGCTGTCAGCTAGCATGCAGAGGTTCTGTCTGCATGGCTCTCCACATGGCTTACATTTCTCCTAACAGTGCAGCTGGGTTCAAGAGGGAGTACTGCAAGTGCACAAAAGCAGAAGCCACAGATCTCTTGAAGCTCAGCCTGGGAAGTTGTACAGCTCACCTCTACCTCATTTATTGGTCAAAGCAAACCACAGCGCCAGTCCAGATTCAGGGGGAGGAAAGACTATACCTCCATATGGCTGGAGCAGCACGCCTGTGCATGGAATGTATGGCGGTCATCTTTGGAGTCTCTTTACCACAATGTTTGTTGTACTTCTTTACCTAGATGAGGATGGAGAGGCTGAAAAATATAATTTATCCAAGGTAACATGTCTAGTAAGTTCCAGTGGAACTGCGTTTAAACTCCAATGTGTCCAACTCTAGCCCCAATATTTTATCCTATTCTGTCTCTCCTATTTATTGATAATTTAATTCCTAAAGCACCTTGCTTTAAAAGAGGAAGCTGTTCTATCTATTCTATTAAATTTTAAAATTGTATCCCACTGGAATAAAATTTTCCCTTTCTGTGTCATGGGAGCTGCTGGGATCGGGGTGGAGGGAATCCTTCTGTGGATAGCACAAAGCTTTTCTACACCTCAGCTGACCCAGAGGTGGTCATGCTGTTTGACTTACTGTTTGTCTTACTGTCTAATTTGGGGAAAAGTGCTGTTTACCCACACGGTAGAAGTAGGTCACTGGGAAAACTGTCTTCTGTAAACTTTTTTGGGACATTTGTATCTGGAGCAAATATAGTGCCTAAAACATATTACAGGCTCAAAACTTACCCGTTAAGTGAAATGCCACCAGTGGGCATCTGCACGGCTGCTTTCTCTGGGCATGGAGCAGGCATCCTGTTCACTGCACTCTGTCTGTGGAAGCATGGTTGCCAGGCCATTAGGGACAGCAGACTGATTTTAATGGCCTTAGTCAAATGGAATCTTTTGGTAAATTCACAGCAGGGACTGAACAGAGCACCCCTTCTTCCTCCCGACTCTACCAGGCGTAGAGCATCTCCAAGTCATCTGGAAATACGTGGGGTGGGGTGGTGGTGATCTGCTATGCTTGGTGACCTCTCCCCTGGCGCTCGACAGCGTTGTGGCTAATCCAGACCTACTGTGTTAAGTTTATGCCCTTGTGGTTCAGTAGATGTAGAACACTTTTATGTCTCTCTGCGCACACTTAACCTGAAGAAAGAGGAGATTATGCCATGTGGTAGCTCTGTTAATGCTTACACCTAAAAGAGGGCCGTATATTGTTGTTTTCATGTCAGTCTGGTGTAATT